GTGGGCAGCGCCACCCCCGATTCACCTCGGGTCTGTCTCGGGGGGCTCCCCGCCTGAGGCCCCGCGGGCCAGAGGAGACCTGGGCCGAGCCGAGTGTGCGTGGGAATCCCAGCTGCCCCGTGCAGGCTGCTGAGAATCGGGGCGCTCAGACAAGGGACAGGTCCCAGGCAGGCCGGTCCTCGGCCTCCAGGGCAGCCGGTTCGATTACCTGCGTGGGTTGTCATGGATAGCAGTGCACCGGGTTTGTGGCTGAGTGCAGTTAGGGCAGGCAAACCACGAAATGGTCTTCTTGTAATCTGAGGTTTCCCCTGTTTTCGAAGACGTAGTGATACCAGCCCCAATAGATAATATTTCAGCCAGTTCTCTCAAAATATTAGGATGCAGCCAAACTGGATATTAGGATGCCAAACTTTGACAGATGCTTTTAACATCGTACTTTACTACTGGACAGAAAAGAGTTTCATTAGTGGCACGTCAACAAATCAACCAGCAATCTAGAATGGAGAGCAGAAACATTTGAGTACCTACAGCTTTTTATCATCATTATTGACAATTTTACTGTCTCCTTCAAGAAATGGCCCTCTACAATGACTTGTGTTGCTTTTATTCGTAATAAGTATATGAACATTTATGCCATATCTCAGTCTTCTGTATAAATTGCCTGGTGTTCTTCATGTCTTGATTCCTCAAGTTATTCCAGTGTGTTGGATTGTTTCGTGGTGAAGCTAATAGAGCACAATAGTACCTTAAACCACGTGTAGATGCTGTGAATAAGGAGACTGTAACCTTGTTCTTTAGTGGTTTTCTGTGATGCTTCCATGTCTTTTGTAGTATTTTCATTTGCTCATAAGGACAGCCACATTGCTTCAGCACTAAGGGAATGCGATACATCAAACATTAATGAAGCTTTCTGAAACCGTTCTGAATTTCCATTCACACTTCCATTTTCTGCCAGTCAGTTTTACACTGGGATAGAGAAGGGAGTAAAATACGAAGGAAAAGAAGAACACTAATGTCCATATTACCGTTTATGGGGATGATAGCAAGCATCCTTTGTTTGCAGGCTTCACATTTTTTTGGATGAAGTCCTGCATTGGTTTTGGTGATATTATCCACTGTAAACCAGCACGTGTAGTATAAACAAACAAACAAAAAAAAGGCAGCGATACCTGTATGACAGCACTAAGCCCTTATGTTTGCTCTCATTTTAAAAAATTCTGAAACACGCTCCCCACTTTTATTTCTCCCGCAGTGGAAGTTGTAACAGCCACCTCAATCACACTGCAATTTGCACGCTAAGCAACGAGGGACTATCACTGCAGATCACTCCACTGTCTTGCTGTTTTGTCGTGTATCAGTCCAACAGGAAGGTCTCTCTGCTTGCACAAGCAATACCACGGCTTGCCAGGAGGTGTTGCTTTGAAACCATGCAAATATTGGAGCTTAAAAATCATGAAATAGGCTTGGACTATTAAAAATAACCAACAGATACTTTGTTCTGGCAGGGAGAACTCAAGATCCTCCATTTGAAATGGTAATTTTTATTTAAGAGAATTTAAATCTGAAATGCGCACAGTAGTACGGAGGGAAATAAATGCTGAACAGGGGACCCACTCGGTGGAAAATACTGTGGGTTTGTACATTGCTAACAAATATGTTACAGCAGCTTCATGTGTGTAAAACTGTCAATGGCTTTGTCTTTGCAGGTCTGGATGTTAAAATATATATATACATAACAGACCTGATGCAGCGGGGAGTTTTAGAGGGGTAACTCTTGGTTTCAAGAAGGCAAGGAGTGGAGTAAAGCCTCAATAAGACAAATAGTTGTCCTGCTCAGAAAGCTGTGTCGCTGTGCTCTCCATACCTGCACACACACATTTTAAAAGAAAATGAGCTGTTTCTTTCTAAGGGGGAACGCAGTGTTGGATATACAACTGTTCTCCACCTACAGCCCTGTTTTTAAGTACATATTAACAGTGACAAATTTAATTATGTGTTTAATTATGCCCAGCCTTGGTCTAGAAGACAGAACAGGAGGCAAAGTTTCCAAGACATTTAAAACCTTTTTTGCTAAAGAAAAAAACGCCTCAAAGGATATCCAGCAAGCAGGAAAAGTTTTTAAATATGTCTTCATCACATCAAGCCAAAACAACCTCCATTGCTCAAACAAGCTGAGGCTCTTCAGCAGAAATTTAAACTCTAGAATAGGATGCTATTTTACAGCCCACAATATGCCTTGTTGTGTAGATGTAGTTACCACACTTACTCCAGCTGTGCCTTTCCAAGAGTTGTATGTACCAGCCCTGAGACGATGAACTCCAGCTCACTGAGGCTCTGGAAGGCTGTTTTTGGAGACAGTTTAGAAAAGGACCTCACAGTTAGCAGAGGAGGTCACCTAAGGGTGTATATAACCAAAGGAGCCTTTGAAAATTATTTCATGATCAGATGTTTACCAATATTGTTTTTTACCAGAGATGAAGGTATTGGCCGGGATCAGAGAACAGTGTACCAGACAAAAGATTATAAAGGTGAGGAGATCAACAGCTCTTTTTACATTTTTTTTTTTTTTAAAGCCAAAAAAATTTTTAAAAAGTCATAGCTGTAAAAGGGAAAGCAGAAAACAGTTGTTGGTGAATTTAGCTGGCCCTCTGAGCCGTCATTTCAACAGCAGAGTGTAATTCAAGCCTGATGTTTAGACCAGCTGCTGCCAAAAACAAGTAAGTTTTCAGAGCTCCTACCCCTCTCAGCACTGTGACCACGGGTTTGACCACAAAACCTCAGCACAGATTGTACAATACAGCTAGTTAGACCTTACATATTCCTCAGAGGCAGTTTCAGTGGAAATACTCTACTCCTACAACTGGAATATCACTGCAGACCCTCCTTTTCAAATGCCTCTGGGGTCAGAAACGGACATGTTTTGTGCAACTAGTCAAATAATCATTTTCCAGGAATTTTTGTTCTGTGTGAATAAGTTTAGAGCAAATCAAGCTGTATCTTCTGAAGTACCTTGCATCAATGATATACTGGAATAAAAATTAACCCAAGCCTCCTATAAATAAAGCACTTGTTTGTATCATTCAGCGCTTCCTGAACCAGGCTGATGATGCCAGAAGGTTGTAGGACACTTGACAGGCTTGTGTTGCTCCGGCTCAGGAAGAAGCAGGATTCTTTTTCTTTTACCACAGCATATGCTGGGGGATTTGGAAGACAAAGCACAACATTCACATTCACTGAAATTTGTCCTTTGGTGAGTAGCCCCCCTTTCCATTTCTAGTAATGGAGTCTCTAAGGATTTGACATTCCCATTTTGAGACGCCTTTTCTTTCTCCAGAGCTGGAATGGGCACCAGGTATATTTTCTGAGCGTGATCCTCTACTATGTAGTCAAAAGACCAGTAATCAAAGGGATGACAAAACTTAACAACACCCAGAGGAATATCCACAACCTACCTCACTGCCTGCCTTGTCCTGCTGAAGGAAAGCCTTTCATTACTACTCAAACTTTCTTACACAAAGTTAAGCCTCTACAATAATCATAGTTTACTTCTGAGATAGCATTGGCTGCCACAGACAACTAAGAGTAGAGCTCTCCCCTAGCAGAGAATGAAGACATGAGCAATTTTAGATATGCAATTTTAGCTGTATTTCTCTTCGTACAGCAAGATAGCTTTTCTTTTGGCAGGCCTAGGGCTAGAGAAAGCAGCCACCATGTCTTGTAGTTTCATAGTCAACAGCTGTTTTTCATTGAAGTATAAACTGCCAGGCAGTCTGCAGGGAAAAGGCCTGCTCCTTGCAGAACAGCCTTAGAAATAGAAGCACTGGAGACCTGTACAAGCTTTTGGTGAATTTCTCAAAAGCTTACAGAAAGAAACTTGACCATCTTGATTACATTTTGTCAAGGTTAAGTGCACCAACAGGCTCTGCAACCTCAACCCCCTTCCATGGCTGCCTGTGCTCCAGATCAGCTCTGAAAGCAGAACTGCATTGCCTTGGATCAGATTGCTGTGAGAACACCTAAGCTGTGAGAGAAAAAAACAGCAAGAAGCCTAATCTGGGGCCCGGGCCCGTGCACTCGTCTTCCTCCATTGGTCTGGGAGTTGTATTTAAGCTCAGGCCCTTGCGCTTGATCCTTGTACAACTCAGCACAGAACAGATTAAATACTTCACAGAAAGCTCTGAAGACTTTAATTTCCTCTGCTGTGTACACTTAAATGCACTTCCTCTTCTCACTACCAAACTCTATTCATCTTTAAGGAAAAAAAAAAAAGACAAACATAAAGCTTACAACAATAAACCTTAAACATTTACTAGAGCCTTTCCATGACTCTGTAGAGTCACTGAGCTTTCTTTTCCTGAGAAAAGGTTCCTTCTTTTCTTCTGTGTTTATTCATGCTCAGAAGGGTCCTGTTTTGTCACAGCTATAGCAGTTGTATTATTAAAGGACAAGTGAAATAGACCTGTAAATTATAAACAGAAAGTACACCTCAGAGTGATCTTTGGTTTCATTCTGGTTAATAAAAATACAACAGATCAGTTAGCCCTCTAAGGCATAGTTTACAGCATTTTTATAAACTCCCAAAACACACTGTTTTACAAGCAAATTGGAGAGTATTATCCCTGGTTTTGATGTTGGGGGGGGGGTGTTACATTACTTAACAAATGACGGACGAACTGTAGTGATCCACCACAACAGCAATAACAATAAAGGCAGCAGTTGCAATGAGTGAAGACTATACATTCGTATGGACCTTTCCGTACACATAAATCAAGTTCTAAAATTATCTATACCTGTTCCAGACCAGGGGAAGGAGCTGCAGCCATTCTGCCCAGTGGCTGACTTTTAAAGGCCAAGAGATATAAAAGAGAGATTATAGAGATACAAAAACATTTCAAGCAAAATTAACTTTCCACAGCAAGCTAATTAGGGTAAACTACACCCCATCCCATAGATTAAACCAACACCCTACAACCCACAGGGAAAGACAGGCCTCATTACGTACCCATACCTGGGAGAAGCATGTGTGGTTGCTGGTGTTCTTTTTCAGGAGTTACTGGGAGTTTCACCCTGGTCTGGGGGTCAGCTCTGACGTGTCCCACCCAGTGCTGTGAGCAGATGCTCCTGAAGCATCCTCGTCGTGTTGTCTGCATTGCTTCTTGAATTGCATCAGGGATGGTCGTGGGGCAGGACAACCAGACACCAACAGATACGGATCATCAGTTCTTCAATGTCCAGGATTTTTCCCTCTGAAGAACCTTTTCTTTCCCTTGAATTGCATTTTAGTGCAAAGGATACATTTTGTAATATTAGAAACTACTTTCGTTTTTTTTTTCCTACCTTTTAGCTTTTTTTACAAACTGGTAATTTTCTAAGTAGGATTTTAGAATGTGGCAAAGCTTACCACATCCTCACTTCATTAGCTTCCCTGTATGAATTTAAAAAATCACGTGGGCCTTAGCCTCTTGCAGAGTTTTAAGCAGGACCAGCCCCTGTGACATACGTTTTCCATTTAACCACCAAGAGCATGTTGCATACCGTCAAGCCATGACAATGTTCACCATCCTTTCCGAACTGGGATTACCGTTGGTATCACTGCACTGAACTGAGGGGCTAGGTAACGCCGAGGAGATCGAGGGTACATCGCTTGACGGGAAGCGCACCTTAAATCCCAGGCAGAGTCACGGCGTCCCTGCAAGCCGGGGCAGCCCATGCCGCGGGGCCGGGGACAGCAACCGCGGTGTGGGCGTCC